GGCTTGCTCAGCCATGATCCCTCCCGGTAGCCTGCGAACGGGTGTACGCCGGGAGGCCCCGCACACCCTCTCGCTTCCATTTTTCCTGTTTGCTGGGCCAATATCCCTCCCGGTAGCCGGCGAACGGGTGTACGCCGGGAGGCCCCGCACACCCTCTCGCTTCCAATTCCTTCCAGATCGCTCACCAAAATCCGCTCAAAGGGAAAACGCAGGGACCAAACCACTTCCAAGCTTTGAGACTTTAATCTGCCCAAAGATGAACGCAATTGTTTGCGTCGACTTATCTGCCAGCGCTGTCTTTCACTGGCTCCAAGACTGTCCAACACGAGGCAACCCAACAATGGCATGCTGATGCTGTTCTAAGAGCTTACTTGCATCAATGTACACGAAACGTTTACTCTGTCAGGCAGATCTCTTGCGCATGACATGCCTGAAACACGTAGTCTTTCAGTTACGTCTTTGAACGGGGGTGCAACTTTGGAGCCGTTTCGGAAGGGAAGCCACAGAAACAACTTCTCTAAAATGGGATCCCTCACTTTGCGACAGACCAACTCCTAACAACAAACAACCGCTGCAACACGCAAATGAATGGACGGACCGAGGCATCAACAACCCTGAATGAAGTAACACCAGTCCCATCAAACAGCTCGGCATTTTGACAACCGAAGAAGCGAACATAACCTCACGGGATTCAAGATCAGTACCGACACAAGGCTCAAGCAACACCAGAATCACCACGGAAGCCAGCATTTCCAAACGTAGTCCACGGTCCACAAATGGAAACTCAAGGGAGGGAGACAAGGGGGTAGCCTTATAAGGGTTTCTGAGGGGCGCATTCAAGGATTGGCTTGGCCTCTTTCCTCTTTCCTCCCAGCCCAGAAGCCGCCTCATGAGAAACAGCTGTGCAATGCGGGGGCGCGCCCTTTCGGAAGCGCTGCCTCTGGTGACGGTGGATGTTATCTAAAATGCTGGGGAACCTGACAACTTCGATGATGCAGTGGCAGGAGGTGAGGACCGGGATGAAATTGTAGGCGGCGTCCACAGCTGAAGCTCCAGTCTGCTGGAGCGAACAGATATCGGAGAGTCTGTCTGCCTGCTCGGGGCCCGAAATTAGCAAACATATGCGCCTGTGGGGTTTCAGAAGCAAAAAGAAAACGGCTCAGCTTGCTCTAAAACAGACGCGCCTCGGCCGCCTGCTTGGCGTGCTTGTCCTTTCAGCAGGCAAATGAGCATCCGCTTCACTGCGCGCTGCCGTGCTGGATGCAAGGATCGCAGCGCCAGGGCTCCTGCCGGCATGAGTGCTGACGTGGCCAAGCTCTGACTGCACCAGCACAGCCGCACATAACGTGTCAGGCGGCTCGCCAGCCGCAAGGACTGCGCGCCAAGCTTGCGCCCAAGCCAATCTCAGGAGGTCCAGGTAACATACCAGGCAACTGGTGTCTAGTGTGTCAGGAACCAGGGCCGCAGACTGCGGTGCTCATGCCATTGCCGCCCTGCTCCCACAAGTCGAAGCAGGATCACATAAGCAAGACACTCTGCTGCTTGCGCGGAAGACTGCAAGTCAGGCATGGTGACAAGACACACTGTTGCCGCACTAAAGTAAATGCTTGATCAAAGCTGCTGATGGCGCTGCTGCTTAGATACAGGCATGTCAGTCTGCAGGCCACTCAAGCAGGCGCACAGTCACGCTAAGCTGACTCGCAGGCAGATGGTGAGCATACTTTTTTCGCGCCGTCGTGCCTGCGGCCCGTAAGTGTGGACATGATCTATCTTACAAAACTAAGCTCGGGGAAGTCGGGCAGCCCGAGCGGAGCGCTTGCGCTGCTGCGCCTCAAAGAACTCATACGACTTAATGGATCGAGCTATATATCTCTCTCTCTTCGATCTGACGGTCTCGCGAACTTGAGCCAGCGTCTGCCTGACCTCCCGAGGCATCTTCGAGGACTGCTACAGAAGCGCCCATGTTCAGGGCCGCACTGCTGGGGCTTGCGCCCGCCTCCTGGTCCTTGTCTTCCACCGCACCGCGTGCCCGAACTGCCTGCGATCTTCCCTTTTTCCGGTGCCGCACTGGAAAAAGCACATCAAAGCACTGTATCTTTGCCACATGGAGCGCCAGGTACAGATGCTCGCACGCCCCTCTGACGGCGAACGGTGTGCACCACCAGCAGCAACCTACACAGTGGTTTGCCGGCGCTGCCGACTTGGCCGAGCTCTGCCGCCATGCCTGCCGAGCACGAGGGCCAATCGACACAAAGGCGTACCTGCCGAACTGCTTGAGAGCTTGCTGCGGGTCTGACTCCAAGGGGTCCGGCGCGTCCAGCTTGGCCAGCGCCTGCGCCGCGGCCTGCTCAGAGTCAGCAAATGCCAGGTCTGCCAGGGCATGTACCACCTCCGAGGTCAGGCCACCCAGCTTGTTGGCGGTCATCACTGGCACATCGTCCAGGAAAAAGTACAAGCTGCGCCGCATGCCGAAGTAGATCTCTTCGCCATCTCTCACCATGACAAAAGCGCCTGAAGCCAAGAACTCACGCATTGGCGTGCGCCCCACCGCCGGCAGCTGGTCTCCTGTGCAAACGATCACAAGCAAGTGTGAAGACACGCAGCACAACGATGTCAGCAAAAGCTACCACATGGCCATTACACCACCAACATTGAAGTCGCCGCCCAATTGCGCGCACACTAGCCCCCTACGCAACGAAACACGACTCACAACATTGCTCCTTCTATGAGTTCCCTGTCCCACGCATGCCCCGGCACAGTGTAGAGAGGACGGTCGCTCTTCATCAGCTCGTGAGCCAGCAAGGAGGACAAAGACTCAAGCACCTGGTCGAAGGCCATGCGAAGCTGGGGGCAGGGTCGCAGTCTGCTTTTGTGCCAGGCTTCCTGAGCTTGCGAGCCTGACCCCATACCTGGAATACAAGCGTCTGGCGACACCCGAAAACATGCCCCCCAGCTTCCTCGTGGATCCTGCGTCAAGTAATGACGCGTGAAAAGCTGCACTACGGAAGCCTCGCTTGGCTCCTGGTTGGTCAGCCAAGAAAGCAGAGCCCGCCAAAGCGCGGCAAACGCATACTTGGTAGCACACCGAGTGGTGTAAACAAAGCTCACGATCAGCGCCACATGCTTGTCATCCAGCAAAGCAGCCTTGGCATTCACAAATGTACCCTTGCGCCAGCGTCGGACCTCCGGACACGCAGCCTCACTCGCTCGAGGACGAGTTGCTCCTGTGAGATGACTGAAGTCCAACATCCTACCAGGGAAACACTGACGAAGCTACTTTCACCCACCCTAGCAAACAAACGCCACTGCAGCCTGCAACTGGCCTCTGCCAAAAAAAAGCTACCAAGCCACCCACATCCAACCCCCTGCTACTTCTCCTGCTGCTCAATGGCAGCATTGCCACACGAGCTGCCTCCAGTCCCTCTGCCTGGTCACCATGTACCTGCAGAACTGTGGCTGATAAGATGTCGATGCCACAGAGCAGCTGCGCAGCGCTGGCAAAGCACTCGAACATGCTCTGATAAGATAGCTGGGACTCTGATGCAAACAGACCGAGCAACATCTCTTGATAAGATGTTGCGTGAGGATGTGAGTTGGAGCTTCTCAGCAGAATGCCCAAGCTAATCAATACGGCATCTTCTTTCAGTACCTTGTAGACTCCGTCCAAGCAAAGGCAAAGACATCCAGGACTTGCGAGACGGCCCAAGACTGCACCTGGCATCACAGCATCACTGAAAACAACCAGGGTTCCAAACATTTTATTTTTTGTGGAGACAATCAGAGCACCTTCCCTTTTCAGTGCTCTCATTTATAAACGGCACCCTGGACACTTTTTTTGTTTGCATCGATTGGCTCGTTGTGTCCAACTGGTTTTATTACTAAAGTCTGCATCTGCAAACAGCCAAGGTTCCATCCCAACCCAAAAGCAGAAACGGCCCAGAAATCTTCCCTCGAAAATGCCTTACTCGGAAAGACCTAACCAAATGAACTTCCCCCTTTTTCTCCAAAACAAGGGTAGCCCTGATAATAACCCCCCCCCCCCTTCCCCCGAGGGTGTTTTATTGAAGAGGGAACGGCTTATTGATAATGGGTTGCTTTAAATTTACTAAACGCTGCCCTTCCAAAAAACGTGCTTGACTCCGGCTTGGCACGAAACATTCGCGGACATGTGATCACGCACTGCCGCCCTTGCTGCCAATCTGCGCGAACCAAAGCCAGGTCGTCAGCCTCGGAGCAGTCCTCAAGCTTGGGGTACCGCGCGGCTGCAGCGGCAAAATCGGCCTTCGTCCATTGCCGTGGCTGAGTTGGCACGATATCTGAATCCACGCCGCCCCGGCTTCGCAGGTTCTTCACATAGTTCACTACTGAACTTTCAGCTGGGCTTCCATAACCCTGATCACGCAAAAACTGCAGCAGGGTTTGAATGCGGTACTTCTTCACGTCCGCCAAGTGCTGACGCACCGCGGCCTTCTGCCGCTCCGAGAGCGAGCCATCACGATCGCCATACTGCCGATCGAAGCTGCCATGCCTGAAGTCAAAAAAATGCGGCTACATCGCTCTTGCGAAAAGCGTGCCTAAGCCAAGGCTACAAAATCAAATTAAAAGATGCCAAGAAGCTTCTCCAGCGGCAGGCTTTGAATGCGCAGATTGCGCGTCACGGCTGTATACCTCACCCACGCTCTCCACTTGCAGTCTGCGCAACTAAGGCATTTCACCTCATACTGCTGAGCGCCATCTTTCTTGCCGCCTCGAACACGAATTCCGCACCTCACGAACTGGCCTTCAACCGAAGCACCTATGATTTCCTCTACACGCTCCTTCACAGCTGTGACATCCCAAGGCCTCCCGCCATGAGTGATTGTGTGCAGCTGCAGCAGTTCGTCTGCACGACTTCCGAAAGGTGAGCGCGTGCTCCCTGACGCTGGGTGCTTCAGCGCGCCAGGCCTTTTGAGAACCCGGCCATGGCTGCTAGGCCTTTTGACCGGCATCCCGCCTCTGACTTGCACTTAAATAGCCGCACACCACATGACATGGCTATGATTTTTTTTAGGGGTCTGTAACGCGCGACGCGCCACGGAGGTCTGGAACGGAGGTCCTTGTTACGCAGGTCTGTAACGGGACAAGCATTTCATGACAAGCAGTATCAGTAGCACAATGTAGCGCAGCACAACGAGGTATGTAATGGCTATGTAACGAGGTTTGTAACGAGGCAAAGCAAAGCGCAGGACGCGCTTAGCTCCAGCTTCATTGCAGCTACTCAACGAAAGCCAACTGGCCCGGGCTGGGGGTTGGGTCTGTAACGATGTATGTAACGGCTATGTAACGAGGTTTGTAACGAGGCAAAGCGAAGCGCAGTACGCAAAGCGCGCCTCCGCAGCACCAGCTTGCTTGCAGCTATTCAGCGCAAGCCAAGCTGTGGAAAAAAGAAGGTCGCTGGCCCTGGCTGGGGTTGGGTCTGTAACGAGGTATGTAACGGCTATGTAACGAGGTCTGTAACGAGGCAAAGCAAAGCGCAGCACGCAAAGCACGCCTTCGCAGCTCTACTCAACGCAGCTATGTAACGAGGTCTGTAACGAGGCAAAGCAAAGTGCAGCACGCAAAGCACGCCTCCGCAGCTCTATTCAACGCCAGCCAAGCTGCGGGCAAAAGCGGGGTCGCTGGCCCGGGCCGGGGTTGGGTCTGTAACGAGGTATGTAACGGCTATGTAACGAGGTCTGTGAAGAGGCAAAGCAAAGCACTTGATTGCAGCTATTCAGCGCAAGCCAAGCTGCGGCAAACACAGGGCAGTCACGTCACTGGCCCGGTTTGTTCAGCTGAGGTGTGTAACGAGGGCGTTTAACGAGGATGTGTAACAAGGGTGTGTATCGAGGGGTGTGTAACGAGCCAGCTGGTTTTGTTACAGAGGTCTGTAACGAGGTCTGTAACGAATGTCCGCCGCGGCTCTGTTACAGACCCCTCAACCCATAGTCAACGGCGGAGAAACTAGGACCGAAGCGAGTAAGGAAACTAGGACCGAAGCGAGATGAAAACTAGGACCGAAGCGATCCGGCAACTAGGACCGAAGCGAACCCGCGACCGTTTGGCCCTGTCACTCCCGGGCCCCTGCTACTCTTCGTAACGGGTTCCGAAACTGCCGTTCCGGCACGGCACGCCCTGCCACTGCGCTTCGGGCTGGGTTTGGCCCTGTCGCTCCCGGGCCCCTGCTACTCTTCGTAACGGGTTCCGAAACTGCCGTTCCGGCACCCTCCGCGCGCGCCTTTTCGCTCCATTTTTGGTACTTTTGGGCACGCCCTGCCACTGCGCTTGGGCGTTTCGAGGGGCGCGGGGGGCGCGGGGGGCGCGCCTCTGCGCGGCTGCGGCCTGGCCGTGCCTGGGCTGGGTTTGGCCCTGTCACTCCCGGGCCCCTGCTAGTCTTCGTGCCGGATTCGGAAACTGCCGTTCCGGCACCCTCCGTGCGCCTTTCGCTCCATTTTTGGTACTTTTGGGCACGCCCTGCCACTGCGCTTGGGCGTTTCGGGGGGCGCGGGGGGCGCGCCTCTGCGTGGCTGCGGCCCGGCCGTGCCTGGGCTGGGTTTGGCCCGGTCGCTCCCGGGCCCCTGCTAGTCTTCGTAACGGGTTCCGAAACTGCCGGCCCGGCGTTCTCCAAGGCTCACTTGTCGCTCCTTTTTCCGTAGGCAGGCTTGCTTCCAAGCCTGGCTCTTCTTCCCTTTGGGTCGTTCAAGCTGCTGCCGGCACTTCCCAGCTGCGGCGCTCACATTGTCGCCCGGCCGGCGTGCTGTGCGCAGCTCGGATCCGCCCAAGCGAGCTCCGCACAAGCGTGCCACAGTTCGGGCATGCATGCTGGTAGGTGCTTGCCACGACGCCGTCCTGGACGCGAAACCGATGTCCGCAGCCGCGGCGCTGATCCACACGTCCGCTTCGGGAGGTGCTGGTGACTTCTGCGTCGCACTCTGGGCAACTGTACATGTGACGTGCTGCCTGCTGCTGGGTGTTCACCACGACGCCGTCCTGGACGCGAAACCGATGTCCACAGCCGCGGCGCTGATCCACACGTCCGCTTCGGGCGGTGCTGGTTACTTCTGCGTCGCACTCTGGGCAGCTGTACGTGCGACGTGCTGCATGCTGATCGGTGTTCACCACGACGCCGTCCTGCACGCGGAACCGATGTCCACAGCTGCGGCGCTGATCCACGCGTCCGCTTCGGCATGTGCTGGTAACTTTTGCGTGGCACTCTGTAACTTTCTGCCTGCCTCGGCACCTTCCGCGACGGGTCCTCCCTGCTGCCGGCCGCGGCCTGCTGCTGCGCAATTTCCGACCACACTTCCGCAACGAGACGCCTGCGTTGCCGCTCTGCTGCCTGCTTTCGCCAGGCCCGCACCGTCACAGCAGCGCGCGCTACGCTGTTCTGCTTCCCCTTGTTCCTGCGACATGTGTCGCACACTTGCTTGCCGTTTTGGGGCCCGGCGAACGCCGCGATCTTTTTCCGACCGCGACATACGG